TTTATTTACCTAAAAGTACAACAGTAAAATAATGGAAACTATTAACACGTCAAAAAATGTGTACATTTTGTGTTATTTGGAAGTTAAGAACATTCAACATACGGGTACCCGGTAGTCCATTAACAGTGTTGATCACATGACATGTGATTGAAAACACTAGATTAAGATATTTATCTCATTCATTTAGTTATTCTGCACCAGTAAGTTAAGTTGCCATTTTACAATTATACTTGACACTTCTAAATTCTAACCTAACAGCCTTAAAATATTTTTGTAGATTTTAGGTGTAAGATTCTCTCAGAGTCTACAATAAGTTAAACCTCTAAGGAAGCATTTGGGTTTTACTTCCTATAGGCTTGGTTTCTATTAAATTTGTAACTACTTTTAAAACAGTTCTTCTGCATGTTTAGGTAAACAAAAACGTTTATTTACGGATGAGTGTTAATCCTGTATTAAAAACATACCAAAATATCTTATGATTATGATATGTGTTTTGAAGGCTAAATACTACAACCTGTGTTTTGCTAACTCATTTAAATAACTTGGCTCTGTTGAATTGCAATGGTAGAAGAACTTTTAGAATAATAGGCTATTTCACCTTTATTGTCAGACCAATTTATCCCAGCTATCAAAAATTTACAATTGCCTGTTATCACTTGACCTTGATTTACATTCAGCCTAGACCTGGTTTCAAGGTCAATCATTCCACTATTTTGCAGATAAGATTTCCATTTTACTATTAAAATGTATTACTTAGCCTATAAAGATTCATTTTTTTAACTACGGTAGTTGTATTAATTATTAGATACTATAAGAAACGGTTAGGCCAATGCTTATAAATTAATAAAATAAATAAATGAAGAAATGAATGCTGTGCAGGATTGGTTATTTTTAACACTGTGTTGACAGCTTAGCAGTCTTTGGAATAGGATATGACATTTTTAACTGTTCAGTATATTTGTTTGTAGGCTACAATTTACTTATAATATTTATGAGAATGTTAATTGAATTTATTATGGCTTACTCAACCCATGATGCTTAAATTAAGGGAAGTGGGGCCTATTAATTTTATTTCCATGTAGGTCAATTTATTTTAACTTTTTAACGTTCTTAAAAGTAATCCTGAACTCTTAAACTTGCTAGTAAATAAAACAAAGTAAGGGTGGGGTAATACAATTTGATGAAAGTCTCCAAATGGTGAATTGTCTCTTGTGTCTTTAATTTATAGGCCTAGTTTCATTTTAGTATTTTCTTTGATGTTTCAAAATAAATTAACCGATGCTCCAATCACATCACTACTCAATAGAATCAACCGCATGATAAGTCTTGCCAGCTGATTTAACTGTCGATTGAGTTGAGTTGAAGCCAAACATATGCAAATAGCAGGAACATAATGGAAGGCGGAACTCTAACGCAATGACAGTGTTCTGCCCACTTTTGAGACCAATCGGGCTCATCAAGGTCATAGTTATGGTCATAGTCTTTCTACTTCAAACTGACTACTTTTGTTTTTAGCGAATTTCCCATATAGGGAATAAGCTATTACCATAGTACTCATGGTAAGACCTGGGCCCGGGACCGATTTAATTTTTCATTTTGAGGTTCCTAGAGGCCAAAAACACCATCCGTTCAAATTCATATATATATGTGTCCGTTAGCGCGATAACTCAAGCAAAAATGATCCGATTTTGATGAAATTTGGTAAAAACGTGTAAACCTACGTTTATTCGAACGAGTTCGCGATCCAGCTTAATCGGACCATGGAAACGGGGGTTTTAGGGTAAAAATGGGTAAAAACAAAAAATTTTGCAATTTCTTTCTAAACCGTTTTGTAGAGCTTAAAAAAATTAATAATTTAGTATATTGAAGCGCTGTTGTATGTCTAACGGTCACGGAGAAAATTCAAAAATAGTGTAATTTAAAATTCCCATGTTATTCTTATGGAGAAAATGAAAATTGTTGTAGTTTACTTGTTTATGGATATATATTGATAAAATTTAGCAAATTTATTTATTTCATTCTATACTATTGACGTATGGTCAAAAAACACTTTTTTTTACCTTCCCCGTAGCAGCAAACCTAAGCACTCGTTTAATCTAATCCTTATATATAATACGTGAAGGTGATTTCTACAAAACACTACTCCTCCGTTAATAATTGACCGATTTTTACAAACGACGTGTCAAAATAAGGTATTTTTTGTGTAGACGCCCCCTTTCACCAATTCCTGTAATAAAAATTCTCGAGCTTTGCCCCACAGGCCATCAAAGTTGGAGTTTCTCCCATAAGATTAACATGGGGGAATCCAAATATTTAATTGTCCCCACTTATTTGAGAGAACGGCTGGGCGTAGAAACTTGGTAGAGGTGTCCAAAGAAAGGTCTTGGTCTGTAGATGAGTTATCAAAAGAAAAACTAATCAAAATCCCTTAGGACTCTGCCCCAGAAGCCTTTAAAGATCCCTTTACAGAGTTGTTTACATTTTGGCCATGTGAATAATACTTTTTAATGAAACAGCTGTAAATTTTAAAATTGTATTTCAAACAACACACATTTATTGGGAGTTGCTGAATTCTACCAAATAAGTATTTGCAATGTTATTTTCTGATTGTAAAATTGATTTTCTTCTTTATCATGTCATGTTTTGCAATATAACGTTCCATTACGTAAGCAGTGGAAAATCCTTTTATCACAGCAATTCTTAAATTATTTCTTATTGAACTATCTTATATCTATTGTACGGGTTGGTGTCTGCCTTTTTCACCACTTTTGCCTATATTTTATCATATTATTCAACACATATGAAATATTTATGAAGAAATATCTGCTCTTATCGTGTCTAATAAAATCCAAACATAGAAACTTTGTCTAAAATGGTACCCATCTTGACAAATTATTTGCACCTGCCTATATTACGGACTTTGGCACGGTTTGGTAACGTTATTGAAAATAACACGACATTTTGGCTGTAAAAGATGGCACAGAGAGAAAATACGTTTTAAGCAGCTACTGTCATGACAGAAAGGTCATATTGTTTTTAAACTAGATCACATAATTCTTTATAAGATACGTTGATTAACCATATGTAAACGTCACATATATACGTAACAGCCAATTTACAGTATTTTTGCTTTTTGGAAATGTCCCATTGCTATGTCATTTGCATTATTTGTTGCCTATGAAGCCACACGACCATATAAACGACGAGGCCCCTAACAGTACAAGAATAAAAGCCAACTTCACTTCAAGTATTCCACTACATCAAACATTCCGTAGAGAAATTATATTGACAACTTTATGTTATTTATAAGGCTGAGACAACTAACTGACATCCCCCATGTCAAGGAATTCCAGCTTTAACAGTAACCCCATAATCAATAATTTCTCAAAACTATGCTAGAGGGTTCATTCATTGGCACAGAAGTACGATATGAACTGACGCGACGTGACGAAGGAAAAATCTAACTTACGCTGTAACGGATATACCTCCCTTTGAAGTTAGAATATGTCTTCCCAAAAAAGTTTTCTTTTGAAATAAAATCATATTACACTGATGAAATCACGAAAGTGTTTAACTACAAAAGATCCATCAATACGATTTTAATACTATTTAAACGTTCTTCCAAAGGAAGATATACCATATAACATACTAATAATAACTCCGATGACGTACGGTATGGGGAATATTTTATTCATTGAATGATCAACCAAATTTGGCAACTAACGCAATTAATGTCATTATTGTTTTTACACTTATTGCTAAATGTTCAAAATATGTATATTTCACCCAATTTATCGCAGTTAGATGATTTATTGTAAGCCTTGAAAGTAACCGTCGATTTCGACGGGTTTCACCTAGTTTAATTTAAATAAGGGAATAAATATGTCTTATTTATGGAAATATTTTAGTAAAAATTTAATCAGACAAGTTGAAATTCGCTTAGTCTGCAGGTTCGCTGCGGCGGGGGTATTTATTCTTTACATTGGCTAATAGGCCTACTAAACACATTTGTTCTCATAGTAGGCCTATAAGTTAGGCTACATATACTTTCAAATTCAAGTTTAAAGTAGGTCTAAGCGAATAGGACTATGAAACTTGTTTGAAAAAAATAACCAGTAGGTATTTTCCCTAATGTTTCTAAGGAACGGTATGTAGGCTAAACCCTGTCCTGTTTCACCATTTCATGTCAATCTGTTGTTATAAATCATCTTTATTTATTAGCCTGATTATTTTTTTATTGTTGAGCCAATGTTTTCAAACTTTTTCAGGGCACAAGAACAACATTTTTGGCCAACAGAATTTATACATTTTTGGTGCTGCTTATAGTTTGCCATTTAAATAGGGAACAAGTTAAAAAATAGCTGATATATGTGTTTTCTAACAAATGTAAATAAAAAACCTATCTATACTATATCTATAAGTACTATATTTCATAACCACCAATGGCGTAAAAATACTGTTCTCGACCTGAGTTCAAGTTTTATGATCAAGGCAAAACAGAGATAAAACTCTATACAGCGATATTTGTAGGTACGGTAGCTCAAAGATTTTTTGCAACGGATGCAAACAGCAACATTCCCCATATATCAAATAAATCAAATATTGTATTTTTTAAACTAAGCACATTCATATTTTCAATATTGCTTGCATATACATTTCATTTAGGTATTTTAGTGACTAGATGATTTTGTTTGCATACCACACACCCTCTTATATTCTTTAAAGTAAACACCCATGGCATTAAAATGATTTTTTTCAAAGTCATTACACTATAGGATGAACATTTCCTTGTAAAATGGCACACGGCTAAATAATGAAAATGAAATATAGCAATGACCTTCATATGTTACATAAAACACATTTTGCTTAGGTATTCATGGGCAAGGTATAAAGAATAATCATTTTGGATTAGCAATTGTTGAAAAACCTGCACTCAAGGAACATAATATGTGTTTGGATTTCTGTTATCACAATCTTATAGTGTTTGTATGTCTTTGCAGGAGTCATGGGCATACTGAACATAGGGGTGTTGGGAGCCGGAGTGGTTGGTCTAACATCTACACTGCAACTGCTGGACAAGTTCCCAAATTGTAATATAACAATCATCGCAGATAAATTCAATCAAGACACAACCAGTGATGGAGCTGCTGGTATATTTAGACCTGGCACAAGCTTTTCCGGACCTTCTCCAGAAATTACTCGGTAAGAAGGTACTTACTGTTTGTATCATTACATTATCAATATTGTATTGAGGATGAGACTGGGTGCATTTCCATTTCCAACCAAAATATTAGTGAAGAATGAGTGTAGATGGTAGTGGATTTCATTTATAGGTTTGTTGTAGCTAGTTTTTGGCCTATGAGGACATAAAAACATAAAAGTAAATTGGTTTCAGCCCGGGTCTAATTCTTACTATAAGGAAAAATACTGTAGGAAATTCGCTTAAACTAAGGACAGGCCCGCGGTTTGATGAAACCCACTATGATTCCGAGAGATAATTGCGCCCCTCCCCTCCCCCCTCAATGCAACAATTTTTTTTCTCTTCCTTGCGTCCCCAAACTTCCTGACCTAAAATATTTAGCGCCCCTGGGTCCATTTGCTGGGTCCCTGACTAAGGATGGAAAGTAGCACAGTCTGCCAATCATGTTGTGTGTTGTTGCAGACAGTGGCTGGTAGACTCTTATGATTGGTACAGTGAGTTGCTGAATGACAACTGTGGTGTAAGTCCCGTTTCTGGCTACATATTCTCTTCCACCAGTCTACAACTTGTCAAAGTAAGTTATCTATCTGAAATTAATTGTTATTTTTAGTTTCTTCTTCCGTGGCCTTTTTTTATGAAAACCCATTGCTTTTAACATGTTAGGAAAAGATCCACAGCCCACAGATATTTGTAGATTTTCTGGTTGTGTTTTACAAAGTCTGAAACTAATAATATCACTTCATAATACCATATTCTGTATTGTAATACCACTTCAGATTACAAGCCAAGTCCTTAAGACATTTTTGTATCAGCCTTCTTCCAAGGATTTATTTTAATAAGTCACTTTTAATCAACTTGCTTTTCAAACATAACAAACTTAAATATGAAAAAAAACCAATAGTATTTCACCAAAATCTAATTATAACTACATAAAAGATTTTTGGAAAAAAAATTACGTGTAAAATAATAAAAAAAATTCATATTAGTGGAATCAAAGAACTTATTTTCCAATAGGTTTTTATGTTTATGTATATTTTACTTTGAGCTTTTCTAAATAAAATTTTTAGCCTATTTATTGATCTAAGTAGTTCTTTTTATAAATTTTTTTTATCGCTTAAGTTTATTTTTCTTTTAAACAAGAAATAGTTTCTGTGTTAAAGTTTGACCTTTATTATATACATTATATGCATTATATGTAAAATATTGACCATGTTACTAAATGGATGATTTCAAAGCAAAACTCCTGTAAAACTTGTGTTTTTATAATCTCTAGCAGACTGTTATTTATAAAATTGGAGTCCCGGAGACGGCTGGCTTCAGTTGTTGGCGTTTCGCCATCTGTGCTGTCTTTGTGGTTATTTATCCAACGTTTGACCTTGTCAACTGCAGGCATATGGCATTTTCCCACATTATATCCCAAAGTATATTTGAAACATTCATTGTTGATTTTAAATTTCCAGATTTGTGGAATTTCATTGGTGTTGTTCACACAGCGTTTGTTGTCATGTGTTAAATGCCTGGGTCTTGGATTAAGTATCACGTATCACTTAGTGCAGAAAACTGATGGTAAACTGTGTGCAATACAGAATAGGTCCCAGAGTTGCAAAGGCCCTTTAAAGCTATTGTAGTGGAAGACAGCAAGCACCATCATTGATGATTGAAACTTATATATTATGTAATCATTATGACCATCATAGAATATATAAACAAATCAAATCAAATCAAATCAAAATATCTTTATTCGTACAAGACAAGTACATGTTAGTACATCTGAATAGTGTCAACTTAGCTATTTAAATTAAAATTTGCTTAATTATTCATATACTCTTCTATGGAATATAATACTTTGCAAACCAAGTAAGTTTTTAGTTTTAGTTTAAATTTTGAACTGTTTATTTGACACTTTAATTCTTTTGGCAATTTTCTGAAATAACTTGCTCCTTTGTAAGACGGCTTCTTCGTGTAAAATTCAAGTCTATGGTGAGTGGGTATGATTTCATTCTTTTTTCGCGTGTTGTAATGGTGTGTTTCTTGTTCTAAAATTGTATCCTTCTTATTGTTTAAAAATATCATAATAGTGTCTAAAATAAACTGACAATAAACTGTTAATATGTTTAGCATTTTAAAATGTTCCCTGCATGATGTACCTGGATGTAGGTTTTTTATTATTCTAATCGCTTTCTTTTGTTCTTTAAGAATTTTATCTAGATTTTCTAATTTAGATGAGCCATACAGACAAATTCCAAATGAAATGTGTGAATGAATGTATGAATGGTAAATAATTTTAAGAGTGGATTCACTGCACATCCCTGCCATTCTTCTTAGTGCGTACATGCCAGAATTGATTTTAGCTAAAATGTTGTCTACATGCTTATTCCAATCCAAGTTATTATCTATTGTTAGACCAAAAAATTTTGTACTTGTGACAAGCTCAATAGGCTCAGTATTCACAAAAATCAAGGGTTCTTTTTTGATCCTTGATTGATCTCCTGTTTTAAATGAAATGTAGTTAGTTTTCTCAATATTTAAGTGGAGGTTGTGATTTTCAATAAAAGTAATCATATTTCCTATTTCAGTGAATGATAAAATTTCCACCTGTTCTAAATTATTACATATTAACATATTACGATATTCTTGAACATAATCACTAATACATTTCATCCTTATGGTCACAGATCAGCTGAAAACAGTTCTAAACTTAGTTCCATCCCGTTCATATTGAGGGAGTTGTGTTGTTATCTAGCAACTGCTTATTTTTATTGTTCCAGTAACAGTAAAGCACAAATCGTGTAATCTACCCTAAAATAAAAAATGTACGGTAAAACATTTAGTTGACACCTACATGAAACACACATAAAAACAGGCTACAGATTTTGTTATAGGATGGGCACTCTACTTGAACCATTGACAGTCAATGATATCAAATTAAATTTTAATCTTGTTTAAGTGAATTTTGTAATTGTTAATCATTTCTTTTTACAATGGCCAATTTTAATACATTTTTTATCCATTAAATTCTACCTCTCGTGCAAAAGAATAGAATTTCACATGGTGACTATTATTCATCATGTAAAAGTCTAATATAGGTGTTTATTTTAATTACCCAATGAAGTGGACAGAACATGTAGATTTCTTAAAGAAAGAGATTTGTAAATACATCTTTGCTTTTAATCAGTTGAGTGTTATTTTAGACGAGGATGACGTAAAGCGAGCTTATTTAGTTTATTTGAAATCCTTGATTTCATTTGGAACATTTGCTGGGGGGCATGTTATCACATCACCCTGGAACCCTTGAATGTAATCCAAAGATCAATTTTAAAACTTGGCTTTAGAAAAAATAAATGGTACTCCACTGACACTGTATTCCGTGAAAAGAATATTGCAGGCCAGACATTCTTAATCACACATTGGAAAACTTGAATATGATTCTTACAACAGTCACTCACACATCAACACTACTGTACACAAGATATTCACACAGTGTTGGAATATCTGTGCCTCAGCTAACTAAATCAGTTCTGACTAGAAATTTTTTTTATGTTGTTCAGATTATCTATCAAAATTTAATTCAAAAATATAATATTCGACACATGTTTAGTTTACCCTCAATATAGAAATTAAAAACAAAAAGTCAAATGCTTGTCTTACTGCCCGCAATTACTAAAGAAGGTGCCGAGACTTTGATCAGACCTAACCGTACTTGACTCTGCCTGAATAATCCTTGATCCTTCCACCCCCCTCGCCCTCAAAATGTCTTCTGACTTTGGTTATCGTCGCCGACATTCTCTCATCCACAGTAAATGATTTGGTTCAAATAATTAAGGGTTAACAAATCTTTCCCACATTCAGTTTTGTGCCCTTTTGCTTTTAATTTAGACCGATTACAACCAGCCTACGCACAGGCACCTGCCCATGTAGGCCTATCCTCTATAAGCATAGCAGATTTTACCTACTAATTTTGTAATAGTTATTATTTCATTCTCTGTTTTATTTCTCATTATGTACCATAAAGGTAATTAATCAAATTTGTGTGACTAAATCAAATTGAAATTGCTTAGGGAATGTAAAGGTAAATAAATAGTAAATGTTTTAATCGTCAATAAATTATTATAAATGTAGTACTGTAGCTGTCTATCAACTAAGAGCAGTTGCTTTACAGAAAGGTGGACGGTGGGAAGTAAGGTATTGAAATAGCACAACCTAGAGAAAACGGGCCAATAATATCTCCGTGACACGTGACCAGCTGTTAGTAAACATGCTCCAGTGAAACTGAGCTTTAAATAACTTCCGGACCCAACAACAATTGCCTCTAACGCATCTCAACTGTTCACTAGTATTGAAATAAATCACAAAATCAATTTTAAAATGTAATCACCATAAAGGTTTAGTTACTGCAGGAGTTATTTCTTTAGAATTCATCAAAATTAACAGATGAGGCTTTTGAGACATTTACAAAAATTTGTTTGATTTCACTATAGTTATTTTTACTGATAAATGGATAATTGGAAATATTAAAAACAGTGACCTTCATGTAACCTCTTTGGATGCAGTTTTCTGGAAAATACTCCACAAAGATGCACTCATATCTAGATAAACATTTGTTCAACACCCTCCTACTATACCTATGTTATATTGATGTTGCAGCCAGCCAATAAAGAACAAGATTATATTTTTTAGCGAATTTCCTTATATAGAAGTAACTGTAGGTGGCACTGTAAGATCTGGGACAGATATACTTTTTCATTTTTATGTCACCAGAGGCAAAGCACTATTCGTTCAAATTTTTATCTATGTAGATTTATATATAACATAGATATAGATAAATGTGTGTGTGAACGTGATAACTTGAGTAATTTTTATTGGGTTTTGATGAAATTTGCCGTAGGGTGGGATAAACTTAAATGAGTTCGCAAACCAGCAAGATCGGGTCATGAAACAAGGTATTATGGGGTTTTTAAGTTTCAAAAATTAGTTTTTTTTTCAATTTTCCCCCTTAAAACATGGAAATGCCTAATTGTCATTAAAACCATTATGTAAAGCTTAAAGTCAAATAATTTTGTATATTGAAGTGTTGTTCAGTTAATGTCAATGGGAAAAGTAAAATACCCCCGCCGCAGCAAACCTGCAGACTAAGCGAATTCCCATTTGACTGATTGGATTTACACTTAAATGTCTACTTAAAAATATAACATTTATTCTTTATTTAATTAGAATAAGTTTAACAAGTACTTAGGTTTGCTGCATCAGGGAGGGTAAAACTGTTTTTTTTTTGTAAAATGTTAATAGTTAGTAAGAAATAAAAACATTTTCCAAATTTGATCAAAATATGTTCACAAACAAGCAAACTACAACAGTTTACTTATTCTCCATTAGAATAACATGGGAATTTTGAATTTACAATTTTTTGGAATTTTCTCCGTAACCATTAGGCGCATAATAACGCTTCAATATACTAAATTATTTGTTTTTTTAAGCTCTACAAAATGGTTTGGAAATAAATTGCTAAATTTTATGTTTTTTGGGTAAAAAATGGGAAAACCCTTTTTTTACCCCATAAAACCCCCCGTAAACCCCCGTTCCCATGGTCCAACCATGCTGGATCGCGAACTCGTTCGAATAAATGTACGTTTACACGTTTGTACCAAATTTCATCAAAATCGGATCATTTTTGCTCGAGTTATCGTGCTGACGGACACATATATATATAAATATATATATATATATAAATATATATATATATATAAATATATATATATATATAAATATATATATATATATATGAATTTGAACGGATGGTGTTTTTGGCCTCTAGGGACCTCAAAACGAAAAAAAAAAATCGGTCCCACGTCCAGGTCTTACTATGAGTACTACGGTAATAGCTTATTCCCTATATGGGAAATTCGCTAAAATAAACTACATTTTAATTCCTATGTTATTCTTGTATAGAAAAAGAAAACTGTAGTAGTTTACTTGTTTATGGATATATTGATAGAATTAAATGTATATTTTTATTTCTTCCTATACTAATAGTGCTTGGTCAAAAACCACATTTTACCTTCCCGGTTGGGTAGCAGCAAACCTAGGCACTCGTTAAATCTAATGTTATTTAAATGGGGAATAGATATGTCTTGTTAATGGCATTTTAGTAAAATCCAATCTGATGAATTTAAATCTGTTTAGTCTGGAGGTTTGCTGTGGCGGGAGTATTATCAATCTTGTACCTATTGCACTGTACCTGTACACATTGCACCTGAGTCAGTCAATTTAAAAGAATGACATCCATGTAGAAAGCCATAACTGACTGGTCCATCACCAAGGATGTAGCCAGCCGAGATCACCACTGACCATGTGATTAATAGTTTGTAATTATCCACATCTACATGACGTCACACTTATACAATAATTACATCTATGTGCAAGTTTCAGATTGGCCAACTTATTATTATGAAAAAATATTTTGCCTCAAGTTCTAATAATTATGGTTTAATAAGGACCTCAATGTTGTTTGTAAGAACCTCCTCAATCTGCAGTGTATGTTGTGCTGAGGTAATTGTTTGTTCCTTATTTAAAAGGCAATTGTTTATATTATTATCTGTATTCATGCAAAGCCCTTTTAGGAACGTTTTAGTTTTACCACTACGCACACATATATCCACTTCCACTGCTGGACAAAAATAGGTGGAATACCACAAGTACACACAGTGTACACAAGTGTTATTCAGCTACTTGAAGAGAGCTTATAAAATAAAAATAAATATAGATTAAAATTTGTTGCTAAGACAACATCAGCTGTCGTCACTACGGATTTATGGTAACAGTTTCTGTACAGGTGGTCCTGAGTTGTTAGTGCCAACTGATGCATGGAATCATTACTTGATCATTATGATATTGTTTACAGAACCATCTACTAGAAGGACTAGTTCCAGTGTACAGACCTGCTCGTAGTGATGAGTTGAGCCTGTGTCCGGGAGGGTGGAAGTACGGGTCATACTTTGAGACTTTGCTAATTGAGTGCCGTGCTTTCCTACCTTGGGCTCTACACAGGTTAGTGATCATTGGTACTTTATAAAGCTGCTTGCAAATGATTAACTCGTCGTAACTAGTCTGAACATTATGCTTTACATGATAACACATTCACTACTGGCTGTCACATGATCTGAGATACACAGGATTGAATGTATTTAAGAGCAGCTTTGTTTGAAGCAGAATATGGACTTGAATCTTGATTTGAATCCTGAAAAATTAATCTAATTTCTATGGTAACTAATTATAATTTAACTTTCTTGTATAGCTGTAGATAACTATTATAAGGGTGCATTTTTTTATCGAGTATTTGGAATAGAAATATTACATCAATCCTGGAAACTAAAGTCCAAATGTCACCAATTAATGCCGGGTTTACACAATGTCAGTTGGCAAGACAATTGACTGGCTTGAAATTACTGGCTTCGTGTAAACACTTCAGGCCAATTGGCTTGCCAATTAGCCCGCCAAATGCCCCGAAATTCAGTTGTCTCCGGGAGTAGGCTGAGGACAACGAGCTGGGCCCAGTGAGGCCCCCACCCCTCGAAAACCCAGTTGTCGTGACAATTGGTGCTGTCTAAACGGTGTAGAGGCCAATAGCACTGTCTTGTCTTTTGGCAGTAGTACCCTGGTTCACTGTAAAATGCCTGGGCAAGTGTTGGCCACGTGTGAACAGGTTCTCGTTCAACTTGCCAGGCCTACGACGATTCCGCAACCACGTGATGACAATTGGCTAAGACCTGTTGTCAAGACAATTGTCTTGCCTACTGGCATCGTGTAAACCCGGCTTAATTGTCTTTAGTATTTAACTGAGATGCGATGGCTCTTACAATCAACCTGAAGGAGTTCATCAAGTTCCTAAAAATAATATAGTCTTAAAAATCAGAATTTTTGTTTAAATACCTATTAAAACAAAATGAAATGTTTTTTTACTTACTTTCACCTAAAAACATAAACAAAAATGAACTGTCGCATATATGCGGTGTTTGGACTAATTCAAGAAAAACATAATAATTTTCAATATTGTCTTCACTATAGCCGGGTTCGCAAAAATGAAACATTACAAAAGGTTATCACATATTTAAAAAAATCAAGAATATATTATTTATAAACAAGATTGCAGAGTATTACAATAGTATATTTCGTACCTAGTGCCGAAAACGGGGTTTTGCTGGCTCGAGATAGTTTTTAAGTTCGAGACGAAGTCAAGAACTTCAATCAATCGAGAATCAATCGAGAGCTGCAAAACCATTTTCGGTCCGTGGTACAAACACTATTTTTGGTACTTTCCTGTTAAAGGGAACATTCATTATTATCGATGATTTATTTTCGATATATCGATATTTTTGTTTTACTTCACGATTGCTATTCCTTCTGTTTTAATATCTTCAAACGCATTTAAATTACAAATTAAGAACTAACCTTGTCTAGGCAAAAATAATAGCCTATATATTGGATTAGGACATGAAACTATTCTAATAAACTAACCTAACACAACTAACCAAACTTGCTGTATAGTCTAAGTTACCGTTTCAAAATTCCATTTGATAACAGAAGAGAAAAGGCATATGGGGAATAGGCTATCAAACGGATTTTTGAAATGTTACAGCAAGTTTGGTTGGTTAGGTTAGTTTAGAACAGTTTCATTTTAATATAGGCTAATATTTTTTTTATTGTTTGTTGATACTGAACAATATTTATTTACTGTATCCTATATCGTACTTGTCAGCTGATATGTTTCAATTTGTTACTATCAATATATCGGATGGAAAACAAAACTATCGATACATCAAAAATAAATCATCGATAATAATGAATGTTCCCTTTAACAGGAAAGTACCCTATTTTTTAACACACTACTACTATTCACAATGAAAACTGATAATCAACGCAACTTTAAAGTTATGTGAGAAGTAACTTCAGGAATCAGCAAAAATAATAATAAACAGTTGCTAGGCTACAGTGAAAATAAAACAGTTAATAAAACTATTTCAATGCTATGGATACTGTTTGTGTAATATATGCAAGCGGACAGCTGATTTTGCGGCCCCGGGATGTAAAAACCTGCTCGGTCCCCAAATTACAATGACAGCTGGCATCGCCAGCAAAACGTAACTTTCAGCCAACAATTAACGTATGTAATACAGCCAAAAACATCATAGTGTAGTGAAAAGTAAATTATCATTGTTTAACAGATTTTCGTTCGTGGTCTGCGTGTACTGTTAACCAAGTGACAGCCTATCTATGTGTAAGATTAAATTGTTTACCTCGGTCCGTGGCAATGAGTGCAGCATCGCATATATGCGACACTCGGTAGCAAACGTGTAAATGGTTCAAGAAAACTTTGACATATTCATGATAAAACAATCTGACCACAATTATAATACAAGATTTAAAAACTCTCTCAAACCTGCACAACATATGCTAAACTTGTTCCATTTGTCACACCAGTACATGGGGTCAAAAATGTATAACTGCTGCTAAGTATAAACCAAATTCAAAACCAATTTAAAATCGTGGCTATTAAAGAAGGCATTCTATTCTTTAGAAGATTTTTTGGAAAATCAGTATATGTTCGTATTTTATTAGGCCTATCATTATTTATTTTTGTTTATTTTTTTATTATTTTACAATTATTTTAGTCCAGTCAATGAATGCTCAAAAGAGGGGTGTAGAGGACATGGAGAGGGGGAAATTTTTTTTCTGCGGGAATGTGTTCAGGGTAGTTAGAAGATAAAAATACCAAAAGTCCCTGGCCCTGCTGCTTCAGCGGGGGGAGGGGGGGAAAGACCTCATTTTTTAGTTTTTTACTTCTACACTGAAAACCGTGCGTCGTACGGAAAAAATGTAAATTATAAAAAGAAAGATGATGAAATTCTCTACAAGAATGGTTATATTCATTTCTTATGTATATGCATTAGTTTTAAAGATATTCTCAAAATAATATAAAAAATATTTTCTAAATTGATTTTTCAGACGTTTTTTTCTAAATAAATTCATATAATCGATTAGCCTGCTGTTGTTTTACATTAGTAAGGATAGAAAACAGGTTTTGGAGCACTAACCTATATAATATAATATATCCATCGTATATATTGTGTTAAAAATAGTTTATATACTTATTTAAGTGTACCATAGTTTGATATATATAAAAAATTGTTAAAAAAATTAAAATTATGTACTGGCTAATAGTCAGCCGGGGTCGCCGGGAATCCCGATTTCGGGTTTAAACAAACTCGGTGGCCGTCGAGGCTGCTCGATCGCTTTTGCTGGTAGACTCCCGACGAAGACGGACGTGCGACAAATGCAGCCCTCATTTGGAGGTAATACTTAGCATTAGTTATTTGTTTTAAACACTTTAAACAACTTCTCTACATTCTTGACAAAATCTTAAAGCTGATTTATTCTTTATTGTTGAATTAATTTATAAAAAAAAGTATACAAAATGGGTATTTCATTTCTAGGGTTCACGTTCTGGGCAAGTTTTCCCCTCTCCATAACAGATTTCTTTTGTCGTGATTCTTTTGTGCTCTATTAGGTTTAAGTGTTTTATTCAATAGTTTGTGTTAAAAATAAAGCAGTCTTAATAATGTGTATTAATAATTTTCCTGAACTAATCACAGTAGTTACAAAATTAAATAATGTATGTAATGATTTAAAATAAAAGGTAAATGTAAAATTTGGTACATAAGTTATGTATTTTTGTCATGGAAACAAGTAATTTTGGCATAATTATTACACTAAAAATGAAAAGGATTATGTTTGCAGCTACATTTGTCCAGGTTTATTTATAACAATTACCGAAACCAAGACTTTTAATACTATTGTTCATGATCTAACTCACTTGGGACGAGAGGGTCCAACTTCTGTCCCAAAAACAGGTGCCATCTGGAACTGAGAACCACCATCTAGGACATTTCCATCATTCAATTCTTGTTGATTAGACTCAATATTGGCTATGGAAGTAATAATGCGGTGTAGGCCTATATATTCTTTATCTTCCTCATTCATCAGAATGGGCATTCCATGTAAAAAGTTCCCTTAGCAGTTCTGGCATAACGGGGTACAATTGGACATTTTCTTGCATGCACAAATTGCACATGTGGCACTGTTATAATCTTTAGTACATTTGCAAAAAAACTTGGGTAAGGGATTAGAGCTCAAATACATATAATAATGTAACTATGTAATAATTATGCTTTAACTTCCACATTTTTTCAGGGGGGGGAGGGGGTTGGATCCTCCGGTGGTTATCCCCCCCCCCCCCGAAATTAAATGCTGGGACCGCCACTGCTACTGACTTTTTCAATCTGTAGCGTCTTTCTTTGTCTGCCATCTTCGTGCTGTTTTCTGAATTGCCATAGAATTGAACAGTGCAACCTTTTTGGTCTTTCTCATACCACTCTCATTAAATAAAGGGAAATGGAGCAAGTTCAAATCATTAACAATCCTTTAAATCTTGATAGCTTTTTTAACATATACAAATCCATTGAAACAGAATTAAAGGTTTTGCTACGTTTTAATCATTGCAATATCGATGGTTGAACCAACAGAGGACAAAGGGAGAGCCATATTTTCCTGTGAGAACTTGTTGTCTGAAAATGATTAACATTTGATTAATTACTTACTGACCACGTAATAGAGCATTGTAACAGTTAACGGATTCATCTCTTACAACCCCAGATGCTATTGACATGATGTCTTGAGTTTCAGCACAGACAAGGGAAACAACTTTTATTTCCTTAGTCAATGGTTTCAGGGACCCTCTCGTCCCAAGTGAGTCAGATCATGAACAATAGTATTAAAAGTCTTGGTTTCGGTAATTGTTATAAATAATCCTGGATAAATGTAGCTGCAAACATAATCCTTTTCATTTTTAGTGTAATAATTATGCCAAAATTACTTGTTACCATGACAAAAATACATAACTTAAATAAATTTATAAAAACTATTTTTAACACAACATATACGATGGATATATTATATAGGTTAGTGCTCCAAAACCTGTTTTCTATCCTTACTAATGTAAAACAACAGCAGGCTAATCGATTATATGAATTTATTTGGAAAAAAACGTCTGAAAAATCAATTTAGAGAATATTTTTTATATTATTTTGAGAATATCTTTAAAACTAATGCATATACATAAGAAATGTATATAACCATTCTTGTAGAGAATTTCATCATCTTTCTTTTTATAATTTACATTTTTTCCGTACGACGCACGGTTTTCAGTGTAGAAGTAAAAAACTAAAAAATGGGGTCTTTCCCCCCCTCCCCCCGCTGAAGCAGCAGGGCCAGGGGCGGGGACTTTTGGTATTTTTATCTTCTAACTACCCCGAACACATTCCCGCAGAAAAACAATTTCCCCCTCTCCATGTCCTCTACAATACCTTTATTGACTGGACTATTTATTATTGTTTTATATATTATTTTATAGCTGTTATTTAGCAAGTGTATACTGATGTTGCAGGGCTCAGAGTCGTGGTGTGTCTGTTGTGAGACAACATGTAGACAGTCTGGCCCAGTTACAGAGCCAATATGATGTTGTGTTGAACTGCTCTGGTCTCGGATCCAAACTGTTGCTTGGAGACCATAAGCTTGTACCCATCAGAGGCCAAGTTATCAAGGTAAATGTGACCAGCTCTTGCCTTGGTTGGAATCTTAATCTTTTATCATTATCTCAAATTATATTACCTATGCACTAATACAGGGTGTGGCAAATAAAACGGATCTAATTCAAATTACGCCTAACTCAAAGATTAACGGTGATGCAATATATTTCATTGGTTATGACAGACTTGTATTGATTGCCATTAACGAAAACTTACGTATGAGCAACAAAATCCAACGTTTTAAGTTTTACGTCCTTCAAATGGTGTTCCTCAATGATTAAGCACTCTTCCAGTCTTGCACAAAAACTGTCAAACACCTCACTTAACATTTCAGGAGTCAGGATGGCACCTCTTGAGTTATGGCCTCTTTTAGTTCATTCAATGTGTGAGGCTTGTTTGTGTACACTCGTGACTTTAATAAGCCCCACAAAATAAATCACCTACTCTTAGATCAGGCCACCCAACATCCCCGAAATGTGAGATTACTCAGCTCCAAAACTTGCGTTGCAAAAATCCCACCACAACATTGGCGGTGCAAACAGTTGCGCTATCCTGTTGAACCTCATCCTTCTTAGGATTATGCGTTTTCTCCATACTTCTGGGATGAGGAGTAACCCTCTTCAGTAATATAGTCCGATCACGCAAGTTTTTGTGACACCAAAACACACAGTGAGTATATTTATTAGTCATGCATATATTTAATTTCTTTGGCATTGTTCCTCTTAAGAGACATAACATATACTTTTTATACAATAACATTGCATATTGTGAAATCATTTAGACAAAAATTGGTTTTAAACCTTTAAAATTGTTTATTACCTAACATACAAAACAGGTAATTAACAAAGTTAGTAAACAACTTGTAACACTTTTCTCATTTTTACAGGTTCACGCTCCATGGGTCAAACACTTCTACTATGCTGACTATGACACGTACATCATCCCGGGGAGTGGAGGTGTAGTAACATTGGGAGGATCCCGTCACTACGACAGTCACCACACGGAGGCGTGTGGCCACGACGCGGCAGCCATACGGGAGCGCTGCCTGGCCTTGGTGCCCAGTCTGGCCACCGCGACCACCCTTGGCACCTGGACTGGCCTGCGACCGCACCGGGACACAGTGCGGGTCCAGGCAGAGAGGGTAGGCAACTTGACGGTACGTACAGAAACTTACTTGGATTAACAAAATGACAATAATAATAATTTGTAACCCTCTCATGCATGTTATAAGATGGAACTAGCATTCCAGTATACAGTATTCTATCGTTAACTCAACAGGTATGGGGCCTGAAGGGAGTTGGGTATACTGGAAATGTTAGGTTTTTTCTAATACATTTGATCAAGATAAAATAAGGCTATTATTTTCGAATTTATTCTCTATTACCAAGCATTTGGAATGGTACAAAACACAATGAAGTTAACAAAAATTACCTAGGAAGTAGTAACTTAAGCCCCAGACAGAGGGAAGGGATTAATGTCACTGCAGACTAGTTTAGTTTCCGCCTGCGGTGCATCAAACTACTTATTATGTCAGAATATTGAAGGACAATTGAATACTGAGTCTACTCTTGACAAAGAGAATTAAGAAACCAACTTTGCTCCTGTTTATTCATAGAATAAATGGTTTTGTGCGTAAGAGTTTTACATTACAATTCTAAACTTTCCAGGGTAGTAATTTCTAATCCATTAAAAACCAAGCTATTCTAAAATCATCCTCAGCTTTAATTAGGTACTGTTGATTTTTAATACTTTTTCTAACAAAACACACGATATTGGCTAAATAATTTTGATTTTTAAAATATTACTAACGGTTTTATAATCACTGAAACTTTTTTTCTTCTGATTCTATTCTCATTCTAATTTCGTAGTCGGATGAAATGAACATACACAGGAATGTATAGCCTTTCTAAGTTATTACATAATAATTGCAATAAGGCTATAGCTAAGTATCGAAGGCTATACTGAAGTCAAATAATGTTATGATAGTACATTGGCTACGATGCATAGCAAATCATATGTCATCAGTTACATGAAGAATTTCTGTTTCACTGCTATAAGATTGATGAACACCTGATTGAAAGCTATTAAGGATATGATATTTTGTGCAAAGAAGTGAGAAACATGGGAGTGATTGACTCTTTCTAATGCTTTAGAAAGAGCGGGAAGAATGTTAATTGGTCTGTCTTGTGGAAGATGCTTATTCCCTTGTGGGATGAGATTTTAATTTTATTCAAGGAACAAGCGCAGACGTCCACTTTTCTTGGAAAATAGCTGATCTCATTGAAGTATTAATTATGAAAGTTAATGTTGGGATTAGAGCAAACAAGATACGTTTAACTAAAGAAATTGGGATTCTGTCAGAACCAGTGGCGTCAGACGTTAACAGCCTTATAGCTTTCAAAACATCTATTTGCAATATTGGCTTGAAGATGAATTGAGTGATGGAATTTTGGAAGTGACGTTATTTTAACAGTTAAATGGTTCTGAACTATTGTACCATTTGCCTGTGATGAAACTGATGAAAATAGTTATTTGTGCAACTAGTGAGAAAAGTGAGCAATTGACTCACTCGAGAGAAATCCTTACTCACGAGCCGTAGGCGAGTGAGGAATGGTTTCTCGAGTGAGGCAATTGTACTTTGAACTCGAGTTGCACATTATACTTTTCTTACAGTTACCATAAAACAAATAAATTGGTGAAGAAACATAACCTATTTTTACACAGAAGTGAACTTTTAATATAACATTTAATGTGAAGTGACAAATACAACAGTACAACAGCTGACCAGCTGATTTACAGCCAGTGCTGCCAACGTATTTCGCGCGCATACGGCGTTGCCTGCATGTTACGCGCTCACTATTTTGTGCCTTCACGTTGAAAATCTGGAGTGAGACAAAGTAATTAGAGTGAGACAATGTTAACATTGTCTCACTGATGAGCGAATTGGCCACTTTGCTTTCCCAAATCAGTGAGAGAACATGTACATTGTTAGGTAACTGTAGGAAAAATAACTATTCAAATTGTTCAACAGAACTGAGATGGGAACAATGTTAACCTACTTTCTAAATCCAAAACGTTTTAGATTACGCCAGCAAACAGCAGAGGATCCTTCAGAAAACAATCTATAAAAATAATGGAATCGAGCATTACGTAAATGTTGTTTTACTTTATTTCTAAGCTGGCGATTGTAGACCATGAGCCCCTGATCCCTAGTCCTTTTGGCTCTATGGTGTACTGAGTCCCGCCGAGCCATTATACCAATGATCTCCTCACTAATCCAAGGAACAGAGGAGCGACTTAAACATCACTCACTAACAACCTTGTGCGAACTTAGTTTATTATTATTATTAAGACCATGATAGGTATGCGGCTTATTGTTTCTGTCTAAAGCTTGTGATCTTTATTAGCTTTATGTGTTTGGTTTATCTTGTAAATAAACTTTTGAAAGGTGGCAACACTTCATCGGTGGTAACAGCCAAGGCAGCAAACAGTTGTTTCCACACTTGGCACAGTCCCCCATTAGACGAAATATGGCTTGTTTTCTCTGGGCCGCGTTAAGGGTCAGTGGAGCCCTGGGCAAACCGAAAATCAGCGGCCCCCTTTTTTCTTAGAGCGGGCGGGCAGTAGTTGTACGGCACCCGCCAGGCGCCCCTCAACCACCGGCGCCCCTGGGCGTGTGCCCAGTCTGCCCGTTTATAAAAGCGGGCCTGTAGTTTTCTTGGTGTAGTATGTCCTAGCCTCTAAATTAGCCAGCTGCAATCCCTTCATTCTAAAAACACAATCCTCGCTTGAGCCTTTCCTTAAAACTGACATAATATGGTTAGTCTATTCTCTTTTGGATAGATTATTCCTTGGCTTTAAATTATCACAATATGATTTTTTTATTGATGGACGTTTATTCATTAAAAATGTATCTAAATAGTACACTATTAGGTCCAAACTAAACCTGATAAATGTTTTCTCAATATTGGTTTTCTTTTACATACCTGCCGAGCAGAGACTGTAGAAATATGGTTGTTAAGAACTGGAGGTCGGGTGAACTAAGTACTACTGTATATGAATGTGTCATACTAACTCTTACCAGAGTATACTTATAGAAAGGACATACTCTACACCAACTTACTGTTCAGGTGATCCACAACTACGGTCACGGAGGCTATGGTGTCACAGCAGCGCCTGGTACTGCCAAGTATGCTGTGCACTTGCTGCAACACACTCTCATGGGAAACTGCAAACTCTGAATCCCTGTGTCAGCTGCCAGTGTACCAATCGGTCAGAACTTGCCTTTTCATCATGTTCATGGTTCAACACTAACCTAGCTGTTTTGTCAATTTGAAATTTTGATTTTTTTAAATTCTGGTGAAAACAGTAATGAAAGGTTTCTTGTAGGTTACAATTTTGCTACTACCTGTTCAACCCACGGTAGTGATATGGAAGCTTTTGAGTATATTATTATATTTATAAACATTTATTTGGGTTGGATGTAACTAACATACCGTGTTTTGGTTGTTCGATTATACTCTGGTATAACCAACAAACGTTACACTAACATTGCTGGCATTACAGTGGGTCGTAACAGGATTAACTATTTTGATACCTCCAAAAAAATCCTTCCAATTAAAAAATATCATTCTTAGAAAATTAATTGTTTAATGTTGCGATAAAAAATAAAGTGGGCAAGAATACAATAATCTATGCAACTACCATGAGTTTTTTGGTGTACAACTATGATGAAATGTCTTATAATTTATATTTAGTTACAATTTTATTCTTTTACTTTGTTGCAAGCCTAATAAAAACAGTTTTGCTCATAAGTTTGGTCGATTTCAGGTCTGTAAACATCATTCTATATTGCTGTTTTATTTTACAATAATTGGTCAAATAAACTTGGATTTTTAATTTTATTTTTAATATAGCCTAGTTTGTAAAACAGAATGGTGTTGTTTAATTGTTGTTTTTTTTTCTTTAAGCACTGTTTTAAATTCATTCAAATTTTTGTGCCCTTTTTGCTTAGTCTACAGTTACACATGGAAGTAAGTTGTGTGATTATTTAACTGTTATTATAACATCTGCATGCGATGGTTGTGCATCTTGATTTTATGTCATATTAACTCATCTTTATAATAAAAAATATACTTTTGCCGCCTTGGAATCAAAAACTATCTTTATCTTAAATTCTGTCTGTCTTTCCCTTTGTTGATTCCCACAGGTCTGTTTGAGTCCTTTTCTTGTTACAACAAATTTACAGATTGATGTAAACAATGTATCCCATTTGGAATAAAATAGTGGGAGTGTTTTCTTAGCTTCCGTCAACCAGAATGTAACTTCAGTTTACACAAAGATTAAATTAATTGTATGAGATTTTGTTTATATATAAAATTAATCAGATACTAATTAAACTCACCGTTCAATTTATTGTTAGTTTCAACCATTGATTCAGTACACTAGAGGTCTCCAAACTTGTTCACATAAGGGCCAGTTTTTAATATCTTCAGCCGGGCCACGATGACTGTGGGGTTTCCTTAACCCCCAAGGGGGAAGTTGGGCCCTCTTACACAACATGTTCGCAGCAACTATATTCATATTTTACCAAACAGATCAAAATCTCCAAAAGAATATCAAGTCATTAAAAATATACAAGAAGTGTGCTCCAAAGTTTGCAAAATTATACTTGCAAAATCAACATTTTGAGCACTTTGACAAAGAAAAAGTTTAATCTCTTGCAATCTGAAAAGGGGGTTTAAGTGCAAAACTTCCTTTTCGGGTTGGTTTAATTTTGACTTGTTATTTTCCTATTGGTTTATAAAAAAATCTGAAAGCTTAGTAAAATAATTCTAAAAATATATAACAGATAATTCTCAAAAGTTATTACCTGTAGTGAGATATCCATCATCACTAATATAAAATGTGCAAAACAACCACTACAAAAAAGTAATTGATTTTTCCAAATGAAATTGCTACCACAACAACTAGCATCAAGCATTTTAATTTTTCAAACAATAAGCAATAAAATATTGTTAAAGATAGAGACAGTTTATATTGGCCACCTGGCACAGGGGGAATGGGTGTCATCTTGGTTCAGCTACGGCTACGATCATATCACTATGCCAATGCATACAAAAGCCTCCAAACTATGGCCGTAGTTTGGAGACCCCTGCTGTACACTAAGGCAATGCTTTAACCAAAATATTTTTTTGAGTTTGAAATCTATTGCTCATTATGTTGTATTTTAAAGAAAGCCTTGTTGTAGATTATAATTCTATACCCGGGACTTTGGAGTACTTCTTGTATATTTTTAATGACTTGATATTCTTTTGAAGTTTTCTTATCTGTATAGTAATATTTAAAATAGTTGCTGAGAACATGTTTTTGTTGAATATGTTGTGTGAGTTGGTAATTTATTTAGAAGCTCAGACAATCTTTTTTGTCACCTATTTTTTATACTTGGTTTTTTAACAAAGTAATACAGTTCCTCATCAATAGATGCAAATAAATCATCAGTGAAATCTGTAGATAGAGTTTTACAGTTGTTATTTATAAATTTTGATTTGGTTGAACACCATTCTTTTTAGACAAATAGTTGTGATGTTGATAGCCGAATATTTTTTGTTGTACAGTTAATTGTTCTGTGGTGTTAAGAAAAAATGTATGTATTAGCAATGAATACAAATCCTTTAAGAAGCAAAATGCTTACGGAGAATAGTCAGACTGGAATTTTGCCGAAATGAGCTTTGCACGGCTGCTACTCGCTCAGTCTCGCTCAGCAATAGACTTGGCCGTGCGCTCGCGAAAGTCTACCTAGCGGCCGCCACGGGAACTATCCAAAATTAAAATATTCCCAGACTGAATTTTTTACAAAGGCATTGAGCTTCTTATAAGTTTTGTATTCATTGGTATTAGTCTATGTTAAATTAAACTAAGTTAACTTTCCTTCCCAGTTGTCAAGAATAGAAGTCTTGCTAGTAATCAATGTATCTCTTTTCAAGCATACATAGGTGAGAACATAAGCCAGCGAATACTGCTAGTGTTAATGACCTTTTCCAATGGGCTAACATTTGTAATAAATTACCCATTATTTAAGCAATGAAAACATGGAAAATGATATCAAGTATTCCTAAAAGATGCAAGAAAACTGCTAAACATATATTTTCTCAAATTATTCGTGTATCAATAAGTCTCGGAGGAGCACCTACACTCCCATAAGAGCTAACAAGACATTTCCCCTTGTTAAGGGTATTCAGCGAAAGAATTTATGTAACTATGTTATCTTTTTTTAAACAATTTTCAAAACTAATTTAGAAATTCATTAGACCAGTATAAATCGAATAATGTTTTGTAATAATTTTTATTCTGCATGCATTTCAATATATTGAGATATGAATAATAAATTATTTAAACCACAATTTTCCATTCTTTTCACTTGTCTAAAGTTCATCCAAAAATTTAATTAACCCAGATAAAAAATGAGGTTGAGCACCCTTAATATTTAGGCTGTTGTTTTCATACAAAATCATTTTGTGTTAATAGCCTATTGCAAATATGGTGGCTAATAGTATTTGTACCAAGAAGATTGGTTAGGTTAGTTACTCAGTGGAAAAGTTAGGTTTTAGTTACTCAAGTTATTTGGGCATTCTCAGTGAAAACAACTTCTCGTAAAATTCATCAATGAGATAAACTAATCCCGGTGGATTTATTCCACCAGGCCTAGTACAGTATTAAGAGTAACATCTTAAACACTATTATTAACACAAATTAAACATGCTAACTATATAGTCGGACATTCATTGTTTGAACAGGAGAATCATTCAATATACATAATCCATTAAGTTACTTGGATGCGCAGTCTGTTATACATCGTTCACAATATTTAGACGGTTTTAGGGTAAGAAATCTATCCCCTCCACTTGACCCTTACCTTTAAAATAATAGCTCAATGGCTGATTACTGATTTATATGTAACTAAGCAATATACATTAAATACAAAATACCCCCGCCGCAGCAAACCAAGCGAATTTACATTTGACTGATCGGATTTACTCAAAAATATCTCCTTAAAAAAATCAAATTTATTCCCTATTTAGATAGCATGGTTTTAACGTGTACTTAGGTTTGCTGCAACAGGGAGGGTAAAAAAGTGATTTTTTTGTGTAAAATGTTAATAGTTTAGTATGCAATAAATACATTTTCTAAAATTGATCAAAATATATTCATAAATAAGCAAATTACAACCGTTTACTTATTCTCCATAAGAATAACATGGGAATTTTTAATTTACAAATTTTTCTGTAACTATTAGGCACATAATAACGCTTCAGAAAATTAAATTGTTTGGTTTTTTAAGCTCTACAAAATAGTTTGGAAATAAATTGCAAAATCTTATGTTTTTAGGGTCAAAAAGGGGAAAACCCAATTTTTGCCCCATAAACCCCCGTTGCCATAATATCCGATCATGCTGATTTGCGAACTCGTTTATACCAAATTTAATCAAAATCAGATAATTTTTGCTTGAGTTATCGTGCTAACGGACACACACATATATATACATACATGAATTTGAACAGTGTTTTTGGCCTCTAGGGACTTCAAAACGAAAAAGTAAATCGGTCCCGGGTCCAGGTCTTACCATGAATACTAAAGTAATAGCTTATTCCCTATATGGAAAATTCGCTAAAAAGTAGTGTGGGAATTCCCCTCAAACCCCCTAAATATTGTGATCTATGCTGAAAACTTGAATCAGGCGATACTGCCTTAATTATACCGTAAATGTCTGTAAACTCAGCTGTACAAAATTGTAAACAAAATCTGAACTTCTATACAATTTGTTGATATTTTACTGTTTTTTATCATACTTTCTTTTTCCTGAATTAGTTTGTGTATTCATTTTAATTCATGTTTTACTCTTTTTTTATGACATTTTTAAAAATATTTCAACAAAACACGGTTTTTAATAGTTTGAAAAACTTGAAGTATGTAAATAAATGTATTAGTATGTATTTTCCAATGTGTCGTATCCTACTATAAGTATACCAGAGTTATTAATTTTTTTCATAAACTTTGTTTTGCTACATGGGGAACTTGCTTTTTAAAGTTACTTATGTTAGGGTTTATCTGTCCAGTTTTTGTTTATATACTTAAAAAAGTGTAGTTGACCCCAGTGTGCCCATGACTGTAGCTCGTTTACTTAAGCACCTTGTAGCTTGATATTGTTAGTAACACCAAATGTTTGTGTATGCCCTACCAGCGTAGAGTAGAGGGACCACTGTAAATAGTCGACTAGTTTATCGTACATTTGGTTCTTCCACAGCAATACTGTCACCTGGCCACCCACTGATTTGTATATTGTTAGGCTGATTAAATAATAAACAGTTTGAAAGTTATTGGCTCTCAATTTGGCTTACCTATGATTTGATTACTGTGATGGCTGTATCTGGTGATGGAGCAGTTCTTAAAATCAAATACCCGCAACTAACCTGCAGACTAAGCGAATTTCCATTTGTCTGGTTGGATTTCCACTGAAATCTATATATTTAATACGCAGTTGTAACACTGTTTGCTCAGTAATTACTGGACCGATCCACAAGATCTATGTGTCAAATTAAAGGGGATACTGCATAGATTTGCCGAACTTCATTAGAATTCACGTTTTCTCTAAGGGTTAAGACTTACAGCCCTTCAAAGGTTGAGTCAATACAATTCTTATTGAAGAAAATAATACACAGTTTATAAAATTATTCGTCAGCTGTTTAATGTTTGTCAGATATGTGTTATTATTTTTATAACCTCACTTTCAAGTAGTTATTAATCTAGGTGTTCCTGTAAAAAACACCCGATTTTGTACAAGGAAAAGTTTATTTGTTAACCTTTTATACCACAATGTGTTATTTATAAATGTATTTGATTTTGAACATTATTTGTAGCCTATGTTTTGGAATGAATTTTTTATTTTCGAATAATGTGTTAGTTATCCTGCAAAGTGATCTGAAGGAAAGTGATAATTGATGAGTTTAAGTTTGAGTATGGATTGTAAAATAATACACATAGTAGGGGACTAAAACTTATTGTTTCGATCAATATAATTTATTCTCTACGGCCACCAAACAATCATAGGGAAATCCGCTTGCAAGTTGTACAGATAATTGCTAATGAGTGGGAAACGTAAAAACATTTTATGGTAGGTGATGAATCTTACTCAAGTTAGACGTTTAGCAGTACCAAAATTTCCCTTTCAAGATGGCGAGTACTCTGGATACGTAAAACTACAATTTATCAGTGAACTATACCCAAACATTTTTTTCGAGTACACAGGGTAGTTGTGGATCGGTCCAGTAATTACTGAGAAAACAGTGTTACAACTGCGTATTAAATATATAGATGTTGACTCGGGTCATTACAGCGTTATAAAACTTTGTCATAATTCCCTGGGTGTGAAAACAACAAAAATAAAAAGAAAAGGTAAAAAGTCACTAACTCTGCGTAAAGAGAAAGCCAGAACGAAAAAGACACGTGGAGAACCATCGAACTAAAGAAGTAAATTGCAGTTAAATGTGCTCTGGAAGTCACTACATAAAAACACCAATTCTTTTGTATTGGGATCGTTTAATTAGATTTGTCACAACTGCAAATCTATGAATTTCGAATCAGAACAGACTAACAGAGACACAAATATATTCTCCTTATGTTGTCATAATGTGAAGGTAAAATTAGCTCCTTATCAACAAATATTTGAATAATACATTTATTGCAATGGCGAGTTCTAACTCTCACTTAGATGAATCAACATCATTTTGGTACTTTATATAATTTTAAGATTCGGGACTACTTTTACCATCGGATTGGACCGTTAATAACCTCTAACATTTGGCTAAACTAATAAATGGGTTTGATTAACATAAATAGTTTATACAGGCCAATTATCAGTTCTATTTCGTGTAAAAAATAAGCAGCCCCTAAAAAAATACAAAGATAAACAGTATTTGTTTATATTATTATGTCTCTTATTGTTGACAATATTCCCGTGGCGGAGCACGGGCGGTTAACTAGTATTTCCTTAAAATTGTCCCATTTGTTTCCTATATAAATAACATTAATTTGCATGAGTACTTAATAATAATTTATAAATACGGTGTGTTTTTTAATTAAAATGTTTGTAGCTTAGTATGAAATAAAGAAATTTGCAAAATTCAATCAAAACCTATCCATAAAAATCAAACTACAACAGTTTTTTTTTTCTCCATAAGAATAACATGGGAGATTAAAAATAATTTTTTTATAAAGGGAATAAATATGACTTCTTTATGGTTAGATTTTAGTAAAAATCCAATCAGACAAACATGCTTAGACAGGCATTAGGTTTGCTGCGGCAGGGGTATGAAAGTTATTCTTTGGGGTTGGTTTAGTGGGAGAAATATTTATCTCATCACTGTAGGACCAACGAGCTTCATCCTGTGTATATATCGCAGAAAAATATGTGAAATGGTTATCATAATTGGTGCGTGTTATTTTATTTTCACATGTGTGAATCACTCATCCGCAAGCGATGCAAACCTCAAAATCTCTGGCACATGAGTTTGAGACGCTAACCTCTAATCTTAGCAACAAACACTTTCTTAAGCTCAAAATTAGAAGAATAATTTCCAGTTTATTTCAACTGTCAGTGGTTTAAATCACTTCCTCACAAAAGATTACGTAAAAGTTTTAAGAATAATAAAAGAGGTTATTGAAGGAGATAGGGTCACATATTTTTGAATTTCCTTAACAAATTTAAATTACATTTTTTATCATGTTTATTGATAGAAAACAAGCATCTGTATTGTAAATTACAATTCCTATGTGTTATAAGTTAGTTCACTTGTAGTATTGTCAGTAACTCAAGATAATAACATTTATTTTAATATTCAAGTCAGATTCTCAGATGAATGATAATGGGACTCGCCAAACCTGCCAAAACACCTGTCAGTGAGTTGAACCTTGCTGCTAACACTCTCCGCTTATTCTCGGTGGAAAGTCCATTCTCAACTGCTCAAGCCAACTTTCTGCTTCTTGAATAGCTCTCTTTACCTCTTCCTCTTCCTTCCTCATTGTGTAATGCAGAACTCCGATGTTGATAAATGGATCATAATCGTAACGGCACTGCCAGAAACCAAACACACCGTTGTTAAAATAAACCGGAAGAACGAAATCGTCAGACGAGTCACTGTCACCATCAATAACGAAAGACCTCGTTATGTTATACTCGGTCTCCTTCATCCGATATTTCCCGATGATTCTGGCGTCCTCTTCGTACATGTGGTAGTCTTCCGCTACCTTGCTGTCATCCAACACTGTCTTTATGCACTTCAACCCTGGTGTAGTGCCTAACATTGGAGGTATGTAAAGGTACGTCATTGTACCTACCAGTTGGTCCAACAACCCTGTAGGCTCACCGGATCCCCAAAGTGTTCTGACTTGTAAAATCTGTTCATCATCACAGATACTTTCGGCGTTACCTAAAAATAATACTAGTACACACAATAAAAACATTTTGAAGAGATGTATATAGTGACTGATCATGTGTCTGTGGCTCCATAAACTAATGCTCTCATATTGTGTTTGAACAGATGTTTAGATAGCAGCTGCTTATGATGTACTGTCGGATGATTAAATAAAATTGTTAGTGGTGCTACTTTTCTTATTTCTTGGTTGGATGGTTCAGATTTGGTTTTATTTTGTTTTACCATTCCAATGGGATTGCTTACTCATTTAAATATAATAATGGGTACATACAAAAAATGCTATCCACAGGTATTTATACTCCTGTGCTTTTTCTAAACCGTTGAAGTGAATTTTCTGTTTCACGGATAGCTTTCTTCACCACATCTATAACATTCAGATTCATTGTTGCTTGATATAACTCAATTCCGTAACAATATGATCTAGCATTATGAATATTACAACGACTAAAAAATTTACCTTAAATACCAGTTTTATTTTTTTTACTGTTTTTTAAAAAAGGTAATTTACCTAATTAGTGACTTACACTTTTTGGGTTAGGTAAACATTCTTAAAACATACAAATAAATTATGATGTATATGTCTATGTTGCAATAAAATTTTATAAAGATTTAACGTGTGTACAAACTTTTAAAGAGATGATTTTTGAAACTCAAGAAACACATTTTTTACATTATTAGAATGTTTGAAAGATTTTTGTAAACGAGCTAAAAGTGCATTTATTTGTTTTTAGCGAATTTCCCATAGGGAATAAGCTATTACCGTAGGTCTCATGGTAAGACCTAGACCCGGGACCGATTTACTTTTTCGTTTTGAGGTCCCCAGAGACCAAAAACACCATCCGTTCAAATTCATATATATATATATATATATTTATATATGTGTCCGTTAGCGCGATAACTCGAGCAAAAATGATCCGATTTTCATGAAATTTGGTACCTACAAACGTGTAAACCTACATTTATTCGAACGAGTTCGCGAACCAGCATAATCGGACCATGGGAACAGGGGTTTATGGGGGGTTTTATGGGGTAAAAATGGGTTTTTCCCATTTTTTACCCTAAAAACAAAAAATTTTGCAATTTCTTTCTCAACCATTTTGTAGAGCTTAAAAAAAGAAATAATTAAGTATATTGAAGCGCTGTTGTATGCTTAACGGTCCTGGAGAAAATTTAAAAAAAGTGTAATTTAAAATTCCCATGTTATTCTTATGGAGAAAATGAAAACTGTTGTAGTTTACTTGTTTAGGGATGTATTGATAAAATTTGGCAAATTTATTTATTTCATCCTATACTATTGACATAACAATAACACTTTTTACCTTCCCCATAGCAGCAAACCTAAGCACTTGTTAAATCTAATGTTATTTAAATTGGGAATAAATATGTCTTATTTATACAAATGTTTTAGTAAAAATGTAATCAGACAAGTTGAAATTCGCTTAGCCTGCAGGTTGGCTGCGGCGGGGGTATTTATTTTCATAGCAATACGCAGAGTAAAGCAAAGAAAATGTTAATGTACTCTGTGTTTTTCTAAATACTTAGTTAACTATAACTATAACTATAACTATAATAAATAGTTAGTTTTCAGCAGAGCTCCAACCTCGACCGTCTTAGTTGTTTTCCTCTTCAGTAATTCTAAAATTATTTGGGAGACCAATAAAAATGTTCAAACCATTACCATAACAGTCACGAGTGACATATAAAATTGAACTCCAAATTATTGTTGGAGTCAATTTCAATCCATAAAATAAATAATATTCCAAGAAATAGACGAAAATTCTAGCATGTACCTAATATGATATGATACGTTTACGTTTTTATTGAATCTTTTTTATTAAACCATCCCAGCAATGTGAAAACCAAAATCATTAAAAATCAAATTGACA